CCCCTGCGCATGCTTGCAGGTGCTTTAATCCACTGAGCTATTTGGTCGGCCCAAGTCTTTAAATTCTTGACATTCTCATTCCATGATGAAGACCAAAAAAGTGTGGGTTGAGTGTTACAAATCAAAGTATCCAAAATGATCCAAAATCCAAAGCTTTTTGAACTCTGACATGATTTTCAAAAGGTTTCAGATTTTGGAGCATTTCACAGTTTGGATTTTCATATTAGGTATGTACAACCAGTGAAAGTATATGCAAACATTCTAAAATCTACAAGATGACTGAAATTTGAAATTGTAGTGCATTAACTCGTGGTCAACTTGTAACACCCAGCTGTACTGAGTCAGCATGGTTCTGAGTGTGGAAGGCCCGCCTGAAGGTTGCCAACATCATAAAAGAACTGAAGGTGAAGATGGGGTGCTATTGATTTGCCTAGAGAAAACTTGTCATGCTGGTTTTCCTGCTAGGAATTCAGCTGTTAGCAGAGGAACTCTGGTTCTTGATGTCACTAAGCATCACTTTGGTTCTTTCCAGGGGAGCTCTGTTCTTTACCTTGAGCATCGCTTCCTGGCAGATCCCTCGGCCTGCTACCACAGATTCTTCATCGCGCTAGCACAGACTTTCTATCTCCCACCACTGAACTTTGGGCCTTCTCCATGCAGGTCCTTGATACAGACTTGCATGAGACATTGTGTAAACTCTAGGCCTCCAATTAAACTCATGGAAAACAGTGCTGTGGGATCTAGGTCCTCAGCTGGACTCATGCAGGACATTGCCGTGAGATTCAGGCCCTCAGCTGGATTCTTTGGGTCTCTAGTGTGTAGACAGATCTCCTACACTCTTCTGCATTTGACTTTTTTAGTGAATTTATAAAATAATCCTATAAATTATGTGTCCTGAATTAAATCTATTCCCTTGCAGACCCTCACTACAACAAAAGTGTTTCTGGTCCCAAGTATTTAGGATAAGATATATTCAACTTGTACATCAGAAAACTAAAAAAGTGTTATGAAGCAGAAGAGGAGGAACCAAAGGCTGTCACAGTCTTTTAGAATTAACAGCCTATTTGCAACTTGGAACTGGTAAAGATAGCCAAGACAATAAACCTGGGATCTTTTATCTGCCCGTACATCTTATCTCAAAGCAATCACTAGTAGCATCTTTCCTCATTATAAGAACCTGTAGCCTTGAACAAATTGTCCTCTGTGCAACTGATGTACTGCACATAGAGAACAATTGTGCATATACTTGGTTGGTTGCTGTATCCTGAGTACAGAGCTGTCTAGCATTCTCAGTAGACTAGGGATTTAATAGATTCTCAGTAAGTATCTGTTGGTTAGTTGATGAGAAATTGGAACATCTCTTGAGGGAGAACTGTTTGGTGGCTGACCTAGAGTTCCCTTTATTTTGTAGGTGTCAACATCAAAAGCTGCCATGTCTTGGTATTGTCATCCAGCATATGCAAGATACTGGCAACATTATCATCAGACAATGGCTTGGATGCGAAACCACCAGATCGCCTACAGGAAGGCCGTGGCAGCGTACTTCAGTTTCCCATGGTGCTTCCCAAATGCAGTTGCACCCCAAAGCTCTTACAATAATAATGCTGGATATCCTTGGTCCTCCTATGACCATCCCATGGCTTGGCAGGACTCTGACTATAGCTGTTCCCACGATGGAAAGTCGGGATACCCTCTGTGTGAAAGTAATAGGACCTGGCCCCCCACGGGAGAAGACGAAGCTGTGTTGGAAGAGGAGGAAGTCATGACAGAGTCAGAGGACGAGATAGAATATGACCTGAGCAATATGGAAATCACTGACGAGCTCCGCCAGTACTTTGCAGAAACGGAGAGGCACAGAGAAGAGCGACGTAAGTTCCAGCATTTCCTCATGCTGGCTTTCCTTACAGTGACTTTTACATCTTTTACTCTTACCTAGTATATCAGGTTATTTTGTAGCCCTTCATTTGAGTGCAGGTATATTCCAAATCCAGGCCTGTGCCTGGAAAAGCTAACGTAATAGTGCACTTCAGTTAGATTAGCTTCCAGAGCTGTTTATTTTAGTTCTAGAACAAAGTTTATCCCAATAATACCTCTGCTGCTTATGAAATGTTAGCCACTCTGCCAGACAGAGCATATACTTGTACATGTATTCCCTAGCTCGCACAGTAGTCCCTCAAGGCATTAAACCAGTTGTACAAATGAGGAGCATGAACCTTAAGAAGGACGATTGCTCAACTGGGCAATTTGCCGCTAGGAGTTGAGGCATGTCTGCCTGACTCCACTTCCCGTGCTGCTTCCTCTATGTCAAGACTTACCCCTGAGAAGGCTTTGTTCCTAAAACACCATACTTGTGCTATGTCCCTGGATGTACCCAAAGACATTCCTGATACTGCACAGCATTTTAAATTGCTCCCTGTGACAACGTGATCCTAAACAGAGTAACGAAATGTGCAGTGTCTCTGTGTTAGAGAATTGCAGTAAAGGCCCAGTGTCTTCAATCAGAAAGCTACAGTTGGGATTTTAAGTTTCTTAGTACAGTGGTCCCTCACATTGCAGAGGATACATTCCAGGTACTCCTACAATAAGGGAAAATCAGCGAAGTAGTCACTTATTTATTTTAGTATTTCTGTATATTTAAGGCTTTATAAACCCTTCCCACACTCTTATAAACCTTTCTCACACTTTCAAAAACACTTTTAATGTTGTTAACCATTTTCTAAATTCATAAACATACGTAATTTTAACAGTATATGCATACTGTACGCTACTGCAAAATCACACAATACAGCAAAAAATCCATGATAAATAATTTAGGTTAATGTTTTTTGAAAAACTGCAAAACGGTGAGTCCATGAAAGTCGAACCATGAAATAGCAAGGGACTATGTGTCTTTTAAGTATCTCAGATTTTATATATATACATATATGCTTTCCTTTCTAATATTCAGTCTCAATATTCTTTCTTAGGCCTGTTTGAAATTGTTGTAGAGTTTTCTAATAAGCAGAAACATAGACATGTGGGCAAGGGCCAGTTTGACCTCTGTCTTACACTGTGTGTTCTGCCAATAGGGTAGGATTTACCAATCTCTGCTGGATGCCAAGAACTGAGCAGCAGCCTTTGTGTGAAACGTCATGTCCCATAGTGTCTGTCCCTGTTATTCTGCACTGAGCTACTTTTTTTTGATTGACTCTTTGACTTCTTTGATGCATATTAGGTAGTATATCCAAATGAGTATTTTCAAAACTGTGTGTTCCTGTAACAGAGTATATTTCTTCCCTCGATCTCCAGCAATAAATTGTACCTCCTATCAAAATTCATACCAAGCAACCATTAGTCTAAGAGAATATGAGTGAGGGAGAATAGGCTTTGGAGCATGTACACATCTGGCTGGAATGCTATTCACTACAGCATCCAAAAAAGAAAATGTAGTGGAGATAGGGCTTATGATGGGTGCTTATTGTGAAATGACATGATTTTCCCACCAGAAATTTATACTTTTATGATGGAAGTTGTCAGTAAGGTTGGGAACAAATTTCAGGCATCCTAAAGGTCAGTTTGAATTATCTGCTGACTTAAAGTGACCCTTAAAATTGTTATTCAGTGTAAAAAACACGAATGTAAACAAATTGAAAGTGAAATATTTTTACAACCAAATTTAAAAATGTAAACAGTTACGGACATGATTAATAACTATTCCTGTTCTTCCGTATTGCCTTTGTCATGTAGAATTCCCAATAAGTAAACAAAGTCATGAAAATTACCTGCCAAATAATGAGAACTAAAGGCACTTACCACTATTTGTGTTTCTGTACTAATTATAAACTTTATTTTTTCTGTATTTAGGGAAGGGTCTACAGGGTGTTCAGGGTTTCACTACTAGATTGGAATCATAGTGATTCTGTTTACAACCTCCCAAGTACTGGGATTACAGGCCCGCACTCCTGGTCTCAATCTCCATCTCAGCACGCCCCAGGGGCAGGGCCTGCATGGCAGGCGCTTTAATCTGATGAGCCATTTGGCCGGCCCTCTAAAAACTTTCAGTCAGCAGTTACAGTTCTTCTCCCATAGACTGCTGTACTTGCTACAGTTCTATGAGATATTTTACCAAATCTTTTCTAAACTTGATGAATTTCATGTCTTCTTCATTGTTACTTCCAAATCTGCTTACTTTATTCCAAAACTCCAAATTTCCTATTTTCATCATAGTTCTGTATTGACTTATGTATCCTCAAAAAGATGAGCTGGTGGCTTTCTATCCCCCAGTACCTCAGAAGGCAATCTTACCTAGAAACAGGATCTTTGCAGAGTTACCAGATGTAAAATGAAGTCATGAGGAGACGCTAATGTCATATGACTTGGACTTTATAAAAAGAGGAACATGTGAACTTACAGACACGCATAGGGGGGAAGATGGTGTGAAAATTGGCATTTCACTGCCACAGTCCAAGGGCTGTCCAGAGGCTGGCAGAGTCTGCTGGAGTGTAGCTCAGAGGTATAACACTTGCCTAGCATTCACAAAGCCGAGGGCTCAATCCCCAGTGCCACAAACCACAAACAAATAGAAGCTGGTAGAGAGGTCTGCAACAGATCCTTCCTTAACACTTTCAGGGAAAGCACGGCCCTGCTCATGCCTGGACTTCTGATTTTTGAGCCCCAGAACCCAGAAACGCTAAGTTGCTGTTCTTCAGAGCCACGCAGTTTATGGTACTTTGTGTTGGCAGCCCTAAGAAACTAATGCCGTCATCCTGTGAGAATTTTCTTTCTCCCAAATGCAGTCTGTGTAAAGTAAACCACACACAGCTTTGGCCCTCTTGATAAAGAGAACATGGTACATGCTTGTTTAAATATAATCTAGTAGCAAGCCATCAAAAAGTATTTTATAAAACCCCTTGCTACCTCCATCATTAACATAACACCACTTTGGACACGGGTGTTTTTACGAACAAGATACAGAGGCCACTGTGGCAGAATGGCTCAGATCCCAGGTGTCCAGCCCAGCTCCCACAGCCTCTGGAGGGGCTTATTGTGGGACCCACCCCATCTTCACTGTTCTGTTCCTGTATCTTCTCACCTGTGCAGTGAAGATTCTAGTTAATGGGGTGATAATTATGAAGAAAAAATGGGGTCATACAAGGATCATAGAATGGTGTATGATATAAAGGCGAGGCCAGTAAGTGTTAGTTGGTAGGGTTCATTGCTACTAACCCATACTTTAACCTGGTATATTGACCATACATGGGTTTTGCCCTTGTCTGTCTGTCTTGGTTAGTGTTTGATTGAAATTCTGCCTGCAGTATGTTTAATAACATGATTTGTGGCTTCAGAAAATTCATATATTTCTGCTCTTGGTAAGTCCTTTCAAACTTTTAAACTAATTTAGAACAATAAAAACATAGAATAATTAAATTAGGGTTCTGTCAAATTTAGTGATTAACACAATTTTTTGTTAATTCAAGGATGTTCTTGCTTCCTAAAATATAATTTAGCAAATGCACAGAAAATGACATTCCCATGTCACTAATAGCACTAAATACAACTGCATTCCAGTTCTTTATGCCTTTAAAACGTGTAGTTGGGAATATAGCTTAGTGGTAGAATTTTTGCCTAGCCCCTGTGCAAAGCCCTCAGTTCAGTCCCCAGTGGGGGGGTGGGGGGATTGAGAATGCACAGTTCAGAACTTGTCCTAGAATCTTTGCAGAGAGCATTGACAGGTGCCTGGTAGGTGAAAATTGTCTGGTGAGGGTAAGAACTCAGTGTGATGCAGAATCTGATCTGAAGACTTGGTGTATATTAGAAGAAGCTTCCAGGGACTGATCCTGTTCCAGGAAGAAAATAATGGGCAGCAACTCACTAACATTATTTCTGTCACAACCTTTGTGGGGGGTACAGGATAAACGTGTTCCTTTGAGCAGGAGTGAAGCATGGAATTCATGTGGAAGTAATTTGAATGCCCATGGTGCTTTCCAATCCATTGCCTTCACTAGAAATTTTCATGGAGATTTAGTTAACATACACGGTCGGGAGAAGCTTTAAGAAAGAGATAAGGACCCTGGGTGGTGTGAATAATTGGGTCAGGTTTTCTTGTTTTGGACTGTTCTTTGAACCACTAGAAACTACTTGTTCAAAAAGGGCAAATTCAGCTTGAAACCTGAATCATTTAGAGAACACAGGATTTCACAAAATAATACCAGCAAGAGAAGACATAGCTGAATTTTACAAGTTTACCTTTTCAGTATTATTCACTTCCCCAGGAACATATGTGTTATACAATTTGTCATCTGAATTTTGTTTAATACTCTTTCGGGTCCTGTCCTGCAGACCAGACAGCATGTTCTTGTTTCTGATTCCTACCTTTCCAGATAATCTCTAATTAACATCTTCCAAAAACAAAACCACAAAAGAATGGAGAGCTCCTTCTGTGCAGTGGGAACATGCATGCTTTTGATTATGTTGCATGTCATCATTTCCTATCACCGTATTTCCATTACTTAAAACATATTGGTAATGTTGCTTATGAGAAAGTAGATAGTTGATTTTGAAAGGTCAGCTGTGTTTTCAATTATTTCCTTAGCAAAAAAAATATTTACCATTAGGTTAAGAAAAGCATTTTGAGGCATACATGGCTACCACTGGAGGCTGGGAGACTATAGTCCTAATTCTTAAGAGGGAACCTGAGAGGTTACCATCCTTCATAGGGCGTAAGCCCTGACCCTGTTGTTTTGGGGCTGTGCTATTCAGATGGTTAGCACCTGTGTTTTGCGGGTAGACACTGGGTCACAACAGGGGTTTATCTCGAAGAATATGATAGGGTTAGGCCAGTTGGGAAAAGGAAACAAAATCAGATTTAAAATGATGCATAGGAGAGTGT